GTGTGTGTGTGTGTGTGTGTGTGTGTGTGTGTGTGTGTGTGTGTGTGATTGAAATTCTGGATGGATAGACAGATAGACAGACAGACAGACAGATGATAGATAGATAGATAGATAGATAGATAGATAGATAGATAGATAGCTGTAGATAATTTAAATGCTGATCTTCTCCCAGAACATCTTTGCACCCCACATCTAGACTCCCATCACCTCTACATGCTTAGGCCCAAAACAGTGTCCCACTGACCATTCCTGGGCCTTGTCCTTCCACAGGGGTAACCAACTGCCCTGGGTCAACAGGATTGGGGGATAGCACAGGACTGTGCTGTGGAAGGACGACGGTGTCCCATTCATCACCCCCTCCCAAGGGCATCAGTGGCCCACCCCGTACCACAATGTGTTGGACGGACCAGGCAACTCCTCTCCACAGACATCAGCAGCTTCCCCTTCTCCCACCTCACCGCTGCCCTCCCGCCCGCCTCCCGCCCGCTGTGTCCCCAGCAAGGCTGAGGTAAATTAGCACAGTGTCCTTGGTGTTTGCTGGCCCACTGATTAATTCCTGAAGAAAAAGATAAAAATCTCCTTCACCTCAGAGTTTTAAAACGTAGGTGAACCCAGCTACAGGCCAGATCTAACTGCAGGAGCTCCATCGCCACCACACAGCCTCTGTCCACTAAGCAGTCATAAAACTGGAAAACTCAATTAACCTGTGGGCCGCCCAGCCTGGCCATACAGATTCCAAGATCAGATTAGTTTCTGCCTGCCGGTGAGCTGAAGGTCCGTTAGCCATTCTCGCTGAATACACACTGGGAATGAAGGGCTGTACACCAGGTGGCTTCCACAGCACCCCGGCCGTTCCTCCTGCATTGTCTGACATTGTCTGACCCGGCTAGTTTCAGGATAAGTCCTAGGGGACCTCTCAGTTCTAGGCAACCTGGGACATGTATTCATGCTAGGATGGGGTTCCATCTGAACCGGTGACTTTCAAGGTGGCTGAGACTCCTCTCTCTCCCCAGACTGCATTCCCTGCCAAGCCCCAGCGAGACCTCGCCAGACACACAGATTCCGCCCTTCCCTCATTCTCTCCGGAAAGAAAGCACAGTTTAGTGATTAAGTTTCCAAGCTCATGACAAGCAGCTCAAGAAATGTAATAATAAATTATTTCCTGAGCACAAGCCTTGGTTTACCCTCTCAGCACCTAACACCTCTGCGGGCAAGCTACCCACACAGCTTTCAGTCTCCTGACTGTTCAAAAACCCACTTAGCATACAAAAACGAATGAGACTCCCACCTTGCTGTGACCCACTCCCACTTGAGCACCTTGAACTGGCGTCCCACCATGAACAGGGTTACTGATTCCTCTAAAGGCTCCTACACTCTCTGATCTCAGACTCAAAGGCCATTTTCTACACACAGAGAAGGGAAAGTGGAGGTGGTCAGAATATCAGAGGAGAGGATGGAGAGACCAAGAGATTAGCCACTTCCTATGCACTGAGACCCCATCAGACAGGGACACACGCATGCGCGCGCACACACACACACACACACACACACACACACATTCCCAAGGTTAAATATGTGTGAGGTGACTGGTCAGCCCCGTCTTCCACATTTGCAGGACTTGAGTGTTTCCTCATCCCTACTTCCTGAGGCCAGCCCCATTCTCGGTTTTGAAGCAGACTGTGGGGGCAGAACCATCGGACGAACCCCTTGGCCACTGAAGGGACGGAGATGGAGCCCTGGGAAGGGAGTCAGCGGAAACTCCCTATCAGCATGGAAGATTATCCCGGGTCAAAAGTTCCTGCTTGCCTTTCCAGCCTCATTCCTAAAAGACTCTGAATGGCCCATGGTGAGGAGTTTACAGGTTCCCCTCGGGTTGCTGCAAACGGCCAGGTCTCCATTTCTCACATGTTAGGCCTGTCTTGTTTTCTCTCTCCCTCCGATAACATGAAAGCGTGGCAAAGGATATCCCGTCGCAGGCTTTGCTTCCTTTTGGAAAAACAAGAGGAAATGCCCTGCCTCAGAAAGTACCTAGTCCTGGAACAGCATCCAGGGGGTGTGGGAGGGGGCAGGGCCGGAGCACCAGGTGGCACCAAGAGAGCCTCGAAGCTGCACTCTGCACAGGCTGCGGGAGCAATGGTGCCCATTAGAGCCTGCTGAGGGGAAGGGAGAACAGAAAAGCACACACAAGGTGCGGGTGACAGGACAGCCCGGTCATCAGAGTGTCACTTTTAACTCTCCTGTCTCCACGTACTGGCCATGTGGCTGAGGACGACAGCCAGTGTTTCTCAGTCTCAACAGCACAGTGGGCCTGGTCACAGTCGTGCCATAACAGCTTGTGAGAATCAGCCAGGTGGCACGCTCATAGCAGCGAGCGCGGCCCTACACAGAGAGTGCACAGCCGCTGTCGGGTTTGATTATAATTAAACCATGCGGAGCAGAAACCAAGGCTCCAGTCACTTGCTTAAGTTCGGCACAGGCACAAAGGTTAGTCAGAGGGAGCCAGGGTCAGGTCCCCACTCCACTTACTCCCGTGTGGCCCAGGTTACTAAGTGCTTTTGTGCATCAGCTACAAACAGAGCTGGTATTGGTCTCCCATTAGGTGCTAATGAGGATGAAGTAGAGGGACCAGGTCCTAACAGCATTGTGTCAGACAGAACTGTCCTCACCTCCACCTTGGGAGAGTCACATCTCCAAGGGCCAGACTGGGAGGGAGTAAGATTTGGCTCTCAGGGCCATTCAGTCAAGCCCCAGTCCCTGACAGCCGTCCAGGGGCACTCCCAGTCTAGGGGAGGGGAGGGACACACAGACAGAAGAGGCAAGCCAGACAACCTCCTTTCCTTCAGAGTTTGGCCCAAACACTTCCTGAGTGTGGTCTGCCCTGCTTATCCCCATCAGGCAGCAGTGACGACTTCCTCCTGGACGCCTCCACCCGGGCCCCCCATCTGTGTCTGCCCACAGAGCAGCTGTTCCTTGGGGAAGCAGCCTGTCACAGCATCTTCTCTGTAGACACTGTCTGCCTGCATGGGGCAGTAGCTCAGACAACAAAAAAGGTGCTGAGTAGCCGATCAAAGGAAGGTGTACAGCCCAGCACTGAGTAGCCAATCAAATGAAGGTCTATAACCCAGCACTGAGTGGCCAATCAAATGAAGGTCTTCAGCCCAGCACTGAGTGGCCAATCAAATGAAGGTCTATAACCCAGCACTGAGTGGCCAATCAAATGAAGGTCTAGAACCCAGCACTGAGTGCCCGATAAATGAAGGTCTACAGACCTATACAAGGGAGGCAGGCTCTAACAGTCTGCGGCCCTGGGCCTTCTGCATGGTGCTTTCTACCCCTAACCACTGAGAAGATAGCCCAAAGGCCCTTCTCAGAAGAACAGCTGGGGCCTGGTCCAGGCCTCTGTCCATACCAACCATTCTGGGCACACCCCAGGAGGTATCCCAAACTATGCTCCTACTTGGGGGAGTTCCCAGACACATCTAGATCAGATGGGGTTAGCCCCACCCCGGCTCTTTACCATGGCTCCTATCCATGCCTATCTGGCCACCCAGCTACTAGTCCTCAGTCCCCATCAGCACCCGGTGACTTCTGCACGTAAGTGATGATATCACAGTTCTCTGTTCTAGGTACTAATATGCACTGTGTGCCAGGCCTCATTCTAAAGCCCGTGTCAACATTGTCACACAACTCCATCGGATTAAATGTTGTCATCATGCCCATAACGATGAAATACAAACACTGGAAAACAGGGCTCAGAGAGATCAAGTAGAGTTTGGGTCAGAACACAGTGAGTTTATGAAGACCTCTAGAATGGGTGCCCTACATGTCTACTCTGTGGAAGAGACAGAACCTCTAAAATGGGTGCCCTACATGTCTACTCTGTGGAAGAGACAGAACCTCTAAAATGGGTGCCCTACATATCTGCTCTGGAGGAGACGGAACCTCTAGAATGGGTTCTCCACACCTCTGCTCTATGGAGGGGACAGAACCCCTAGAATGGGCACCCTATACCTCCGTTCTGTGGAGGAGACGACCTCTAGAATGGGTGCCCCACACCTCTGCTCTGTGGAGGGGACTGAACTTGACTGCAGGGTGTCAGGGCCGGGGAGTGATAAGGCTCTGGGAAGTGACTGGGAAGCAAAGGGCAGGCACACAGACTGAGTGGCTTCCCCAGCACGCACAGCACGCACAGAAATAAGGGGCCTAGGAACCGGTGGCCAGAGCTGTCTCCCCATTGATCCCATAGACCTCTGCTTCCATGCCTCTGAACTGCGCATCTTCACTCTGTCCTTCTCCCACCCCCTCCTGCCTGGCCAAAGTAGTTTTTAAAAGTAATGACAAGGTCACTTTCTGCAGAGCTCTCTGGCTCTGGTATCTCCTGTCATCCGCCTTAGAATAACGTACCTGTGAGGCAAAGAGAGCAGCACTGGGTAAGATTAGAGCTGTGAAGGTTGCCATCTTACTGATTGATCCCTTATTACTTTTATTTATAAATTAATACCTAATTTCTTAATTAATACCTTAATGATAAACTATTATTTATTACTACCTCCTTGCTGTTATCATATTCCCTGTCAGGAAGCAAGGACCACAACAGAACCTTTTCTAATGATCCAAATTACACATTTTATCGTGTATAAATATATTTTGAGCCAAGCATGGTAGGCACACCTTTAATACCAGCACTTAAGAGGCAGAGGCAGGGGGATCTCTATGGATTCAAGGCCAGGCTGGTTTACACAGGGAGTTTCAGGCCAGCCAAGACAGTGAGATCCATATTTACATGTATGGGTTTATTGTAATCATTATAGTAACTGTATAAGCCAGAAGACCTTCCTGTGGCATAGCAGGCCCCTGCAGGGACAATTCAACATGCCTCACTCTCTCTGCCTACCTGTACCCTGACCCCCCCCAACAGCACCCTTCAGCCTGCCACTCATTCCACAGCCTAAACTTGAAACTTCACCCTAACAAAGGCCCTGCCCCAATCCCTTCCTTCATCCAGTGTCCCTTAGCATCCTCTCGCTGCAAGGGACTGTGCACAGATGTTTGCCTGAGGGATGTCTGTCCTTACCCCTACCCTGCAGACACCACGGGACCAGTGCTGTTATGTCTACAGTGCCCAACAAAGGGTGTGGCAGGTAACAGAAACATTGGGGCTGAGATGAAAGAACAAGCAATTACCAATTCAGTCTCTCAGACAGATCCAGCCTGGAAGTGTCTTTAAGAAGGGAAATAGGCCTCTTGCTCACTAAAGAGGTGTGAGCCTCAAGTACATAAGGTGGCTGTGCAAAAACACAACAACAACCAAAATCTAAAACTAAATAACAACAAGAACAACAAGAAAAATCTTCGAATCAAACATACTCCATTACTCTTGTTAAACAGTAAGAGCAGGAGAACGTATCCTTGTCTGTTTCACCTCGTGATCTGTGGAGGTCAAGAATGCCTCCCAGTTAGTTCCCCAACTGGAGCACAATATGGATGTCCTCTCTTGGGTCCTCTCTGCTTTCACTGACTCCTCTTTCCCAGGCTTCAGATGCCAGGTAGGACTGAGAAAGGGGGAAAGGCACACACAGTATGCCAGACCCGCACTGCCTGAGACTCCAGCCCCATGCTCAGGGCCTTCACATGACCAAAGCTAAAAGATAAGAAACATTAACAGCCTCACACCCTGCTGGGATGAAAGGGCAGCCTGGAGAGAAGGGGTCACCAAGCTTCTGGCTCCCCCTTCATAAGCTAAACACAACATGAGCTAAAAACTGACTCCCGGGTCGGGTTCATGCAAAGGTGTTATGTGGCCCAACGCTGAAAGCACAGCTACTTACACTAGACACGGGCATTTAGGGCCAGCTGGCCCACAGGTTGGCCGTGTGACCTGGGTAAAGTGGCTTAATTCTCTGCAGCTTGGTTTCCTCAATAGTGACCTCTGAGGAGCTGTGAGGGTTAAATGGCAGGATGCAGAAATGATGGGGACTGAGTGTGCGGCACAGGGGTCAGCGGCAGAGATTACCTGCACGTTCTCTTCGGTCACCTCGATTTCTGCCGTGTAGATGTAATCAATCAGCTTACTGAGAGTCTGCCCATCCACATCCTTGATTTCAATCTTCTTGGCTTTACTCTCAGACATGTCACCTAGAGTTCCCAACAAAACAGAAAGGACACAAATTTGGTACCTGTGGCCAATTTGCTTCCTGTGTTGTCCTGGAAACCACCGGAGAGAGTCGGGCACACAGACATCCAGGTCATAATGACCTTGGGTCTCAGACCACTCATAACCAACCGCAGGCATTCTGTGTTCTGCTGCCTGTTTCTGTAGACGAGGCATGGAGCAACACTTCCTGACAGCTGCATCAGGACCAGATAGGCGAGCAAACTCTTCACCGGCCCTGAAGGTGGGTGGGTCTTGGAAGAGGAATTTGCAAATACCCAAACCACCGAGACAACACGAAAAACTAGAGCTTGCTGAGTGGTGCTGACTATGGCCAAATGCTGAAGGAGGCACTTCAAATTCTTGCCTCTTCCAAACTTCACAGAATTGTGTGGTGTTTGCAATATCAGCCTCGTCTTCTAGAGAGAAAAACAAGGCCCAGAAAGGCAGCTCCTTCATCTGAAGGGCCAAGGTGGGTTCAAAGGGAGTCTGACTTGAGAATCCACAGCTTTAAACACCATGCAATCCTAAGTTCCAGAAACACAGAGAAGGAACCACAGACCATTCCTGGGAGCTATAACAAGGCCTCCCAGGAGAGAGCAAATTTATCTGGGGGTGACAGGATGAAGAAATATTCCTGAGACAGCAAAGGTGGAAAGGAGGAGTAGATGTGGGCTAGGCATACAGGAGAAAAGACCCAAGAGGATACTGAATCCAGGGACAGCGAGAGGCTGATGAAGAAGGACGCCAAATAGAAATTCCACACTAGCTCAGAACTGAGTATGATAAAGGGTTATTATTTAGGGGTGGACTCACAGATCACAGTCCTCTGCATGAACAGGGAACAGGAACCGAACCACGCCGCCAGAAGAGAGGTTGGACGTGCGCTTAACATTGGCATATATAGTACAAGAGGCCACGCCCAAGTCGGCAGGTAACTTAAAGGCTACTGGCTAAAGGAATTCCTACAGTAGGCTGGTGTGGTTGGGCATAGGGTGAAGAAGGAAGCTAGAGAGACACACAAGGCCATAGATAGTAGAGTCCTATACATCATGCTAGAGAGGCACACAGGGCCATAGATAGTAGAGCTCTATACATCGTGCTAGAGAGGCACATAGGGCCATAGATAGTAGAGCTCTATACATCGTGCTAGAGAGGTCCGCATGGCCATAGCTGCTAGAGCCCTATACATGATACAAATGGGCTGCATCCAAAGGGTGATGCCACTGAGAAGTTCTAAACAGAGAATTGCAAGAGTAGATGGAACGTTTTCCTTGAGAATGTCATACATGAGTATTGTATTTACATCAGCTCCACCCTTCCCTCTCCCCCCACAACTCTGAGTCCAGTTAGTGCTGGTCATACGTCTATGTGCTCAGGACTGACCATTCAGGATTAGATAACCTCTCAGGGGGCTTCTCTCTGGAGAAGACTGATTCTCTCTCATCAGTCATTAACTGCCTGTAGCTCTTCACCTAGGGGTGGGGCCCTGATAGATGACATGCCAGCTGGTGTTGTCATTTGGAGGTCTTGCTTCGGTGACTACGGCATTACAGTGTTGTGGGTACAGCTCCGTGTCCTAGGCAGAAGGCACTCTCTCTCTGCAGACTTGTCCTGGTCTTCTGACTCTTACAATCCTTCTGCTTCCTCCTCCCTGATGTTTCTTGAGCCTTGGGAATAGCAGCTGTGTTCTATATGGGTATTCTATGGTCAGTTGTTACCTGCATTTAGACCAGTTGTGGGTTTCTTTGACGGACTCCAGATGGAAATTTCTGAATGAAATTCCAGATACAGGGGTGGGAGAGAGCTGCCCTGGATACGGAAAGAACAGCTGGGAGGCCCTGATAATAACCCAAGGAAGAATATGTAGCCAGGAAGCAAGAGCAATGTAGGTACCACATTCTCAGTCACAAGAGCAGACAATGCCTGTGCTGGCCTGAACCAGTCTCTTCAGCAAGGGTTGGGGACTTCAGGCAACAGAGACAGCAGAAGATCAAAACAGATGTCAATCTGACCACAGGAAAAACAGGCAGAAGCTGGTGTGAGTACACAAAGAGCCTGGTGATTGTTCTCTCTCAAATCCACGCCAGAGCCAGGAAAATCCAGTACAGCGCAGCAGGCAGGCTTCTGCCGCCCACCTCCAGCTACAGGAACACACCACCAGCCTACAGTACCCTATTCTGCCACAGCTCCAGAACTGAATGACTCTAGAACGGGGGAACAGATGTGTTGGGCTTGTCAAATCCTGCCTGCCAGTCTCCTTGTCAGACCAGCTCTGCCAGGAGCCCCTTTCCGTCTTTCCCCTCTCTGGGTACCGGGAAGGCCAATGGCTAGAACATACTGAGTCCTGGCTGGGAACAGCGGTGAGGAAGAAACAGGGGAAGGTGGCAGACTTCTCCTGCCCCGAAGATGGGGGCCCTGATCCTCCTGAGCTTATGCTAAGTCACACAAACAAAACGAGGCAGAGAAATCAGAAGTTAATGTTTCCTCTTCCAAATGGCTTAGAAGTTCACTAATTAGGGTCAAACTGGGAAGTGTATCACAAAAGATGTGAGGTTTAAGAACTTAGGCCTTAGAAATAGGATTCTGAAAGCGTAGCTGGCTGCAAGAACTCAGAGGCACACAGTCAGATCTGGGCTGACCACCCTCCCTCTGGAATCTACATGTGGGAGTCAAGTCAGGATTTTAGAACTTTGGATAAACAAATAGAAACTATTGAAATTGTATGAAAACCTCTGTGTGTGTGTTCACACACCCCTGGGCACAGGGTGGAGTGGAGTTCCACTTTCTGGGACAATAACAGTTTTAGCAGACTCTTTCAGGTTTCTGTGGCCTGCAAAAGGCAAGCAGGCCTCTCTAGACGGGGCTTCCTGAGCTGTGGATATCATCCTGCATGGCGCTCAGAATCAAGCACATGGAGAATCCACATTGTCTCTGACAGTGCTTGCTGGTGTGTGGCCATTCAGCTTTGCTGCAGCCTGAACACATGTATGCACTGAACACTGCACATGCCATCACTGCCACACCAAGAAACTGCCTGAAACACACTGGCTCAGAAAATATATTTTACGGACTGCATTATTTTTATTGTCATATAAGCTATTCAGTACCTATAGAAACATAACCATTCAAAGCTGGAAAACAAAGAATTTTAAGTATTTCCCGGCTGTCATTCCCCAGCATACACTGAAGTAGTGTATCTCTGCACTATGCTGTACTAGAATATGTAGTTTTAAAAATTGCTGTCTGGAGCAAAGGAAACTATAGCAGAGAAAAATATAGAATGGAAGAGAGTGTTCGCTAGCCATGCTTTAGACACAGGGTTAATACCTAGAACACATAATACAAAGAACTAAAGGTGGGGGGAGAGGGCTCAGTGAGTAACGCATTTGCCACATGAAGCAGATGGCCTGAGCCTGGAACCGCAGAATCCACATCAAAGCTGTCCGCCATCCCAGACACCCCTACAGGAGACGGGAGTGGGGATGGGGAACCTCTAGAAGCCGAGGCCAGCCTGAAGGGTTTCTATCCCAAACAAGGCGAAAGGGAGGAAAAAAAAAAAAACCCTACAAAATTAAACATACATATACACACCGTGTGAGTCAGTAAATAGGCTGGCTAATAAAGTATTTATCTAAAGTAGAAACAAAAGTGGCCAATGTTTTTAAACTGTTTGATATCATTAACTATCAGGGAAATATGTGTTAAAACTACTTTGAGATTCCATCACAACCCAGTCAGAATAACTGTTACCAGGAAAAGCAGTGACAATAAACGCTTTTGAGGATGTGTGGAAGTGTATCCACAGGTGGTAGAAGTGTGAACTGGTGGAGCCGTTTTGGTAATCGGATTTCCAAAGCATTAAAAACAGAACTGCCTGTTGACCCAACTGTATCAGTCTTGAACACACACCAAACACATTCATGCTCACTGCTGCTCTGTTCACACCGAACACATCCATGTTCACTGCTGCTCTATTCACACCAAACACATCCATGTTCACTGCTGCTCTGTTCACACCAAA